AGAGAGAGAGAGAGAGAGAGAGAGAGAGAGAGAGAGAGAGACGATGGACCGACGGTAGAGCAGGAGGGGAAGGGGATGAAGAGGGTGTGGGCAGTTGAAGAAGAACGAAGCTAATTAACCTGTGGGAGTGAGTAGCATTGGGAAGACGGTACAGAGGTAGGATCGCCAAGGGGCGGACTTCATCTCTTCTTATACTACCAGTACGTCTGAATGCTCCACAGCTTTGATTGCTGATGATAGATCTGTCAAGGGCTAAAATCTGTCACGAAGAGAAAGGTTTATGGTAGAGGAGGAGGAGGAGGAGGAGGAGGTGGACAGGTAAAGACGTCGACGACGACGACGACGAAGAAGAAGAAGAAGAAGAGGGAAAGAGAAAAAGGTAGAGGGAGAGAAATGGAAGAAACCTAGGACACAACTGAAGAAGTAGCGTGAACCCCCTCCTACTGCCCTGAAGAGCGCGTCGTGTTCGGGCGATCGGTGCTTGTATAGCGTGTTGATGCAGCGAGCAAATAATACCGTTTAGGGGGGCATAAGGGATAAGGGCCTAGTTGCAGCAGCACTCGCAATCCGCCAACAGTTTGAATGAATCTGAACATACAGGCTGTCCCGATGAGTTTGAAATGTTGGCGGATGGCGAGTGGTGCAACTAGACCCTAAGTCAAAAAAGTGGAGACAGCACCCAAGAGCCTAGCTCAGTGGGTACACCCATGAACTGTTGAAATACAGACCTGTGTTCGAATCCCGATGATGGAACTTGACAAGTAAAACCAACTACTAATGAATTGCTTAAAAAAAAAAAAAAAAAAAAAAAAAAGTGGAGACAGGCAGCGCATGGGGCAGAATGGTACACATGTAACTGTCCGTAAACAGAGATCACAAAATCAATAAATAAATAAATAAACAGGGATCATGAGCTCGTGTCCTAATGCACTCAATACAATAAAATAATGTCAGGGGCTGCTGCAAACTCTTTCCCCTCCCCAACTTAAAAAAAAAAAAGAAAAAAAAAAGAAAAAAAAAAGGAAGAAAACCCAACTACGGAACAGGTACAACTAGAAATGACCGAAAGATATCAACAAAAGGCCAAGTGCATAGATATTAGATAGCCATTAATGCTTCTTTTTTAGTTAAAAAAATAAATGTTTTATTTTATTTTATTTTATTTTATTTTATATTTTTATTTTTTTTAATTTAATAACACAAACCGTGAACCTGTGGGCCCGGCGTCCCTCAGACTATTCATCGTCTAGATATAGCCATTAATAGCAGTATTTAAAAATGAAATCCCAATATTTAAAAAAAAATGAAGTCCTGTATTTTAAAATAAAAAGCAAAATCCCAGTATTTACAGCAACGACAAAAAAAAAAAAAAAAAAAAAACAGTATGAATAGTTGCCCGGCCTACTCACACTAAGACTAAGAGTCTCGTTAGACACTGCTAAAAATGCCTGTTTTCAGGATTGCACCGTGGTTGCACGCATTCCTAAATCCGATTTTGAGATCGAAAATGTGAAAACGGCCTTAGGACTCGTCCTAAAGAATTTAGGATTCCCCAGGCAAATTTTCCTAAATTTTTTACTTGCCCCTGAAATTTTTAGGAAGTCGCGTTTGATGGAGTCGTGGCATCGCGCGCATGGCACCGTCGTCTCGAACTCTGTGGTGCAGAAGTCGTCCATCGGGCCAGGAGTCGGACATCGGAGGCCTTCGGCGGGCCGACGAAGGCAACGGCCACCACCGGTAACCGTTGGTGGCCGTGGTGGACCGAGGGTGCCCTGTCGTCTGTAGTGGACCGTTGGCTTCGATGCGAAACGCGGAGGAGGGCGACGACTCGCGCAACACGACATAACGACGACCTGCGGGCAGTGGAGGGGCCCCAATGGTCAAAATTTGAACCGCGGAGGACGACACTCCTCGCGCAACACGACATAACGACGACCTGCGGGCAGTGGAGGGGCCCCAATGGTCAAAATTTGAACCGCTGGTGTCCGCCTTTGTCGTCCTCCGCGCGCTTCTCACCTCCCGTCCTCAACCGGCCAGGGCCCACCGCTCTGTACCACAGACACCAGGCTGCAATGGGCGGACATCGACTGCGTGGCTCTGTATAAATATATGAGAACTGGCCGGGGCAGACCCGTTAGGACGGTTCCTAAAAGAAATTTTCTAGGATTGCGTGCAACGACGCCGTAGCAAATCCTCAAATTCTTTTAGGACTCGTCCTAAAGAATTTAGGAATCCTGTAGGAGTGTCTAACGAGACCCTAAGCCTAGAACGTGATCGCGGTCAGATTCATCTAGGTTTGTCCGTAATTGCAGTCAGATACATTTAAGAAAGTGCTAGTGTGAGTATGCCCGCAACCTGTTCTTCCACACACTGAGGAGAAGATTGCGGGCCTCGCTCCACCACTCACCCCCCGTACAAAAGACAAACATTACGGCGGTGTATCTTTCCATGTTCTAGCTGAATATTCATTCTCATTTTGCACAATTGGTGAGTAGTGGAGTGAGGGCCTGAGGCTATTACTTCTGTAAGACCCGCGACTTCAGCGGCGGCTAGTTCAGTCCTTCCATGGCTGCTGCGGTCCCTCCTTAGCCACTGGAATCCCACCATGGCTACTGTGGACCCTCCATGGGCTACTTCGGTCCCTCCATTTGCCCACTATATTTTTACTATAAAATGAGCTTCTTCTGATTGTCTGGCCAATTTTCCTTTGTTGTTCTTGTTTTTGTTTTTCTTTCTATGGACCACGGATAAGATATTAAACTCATCAGAACAGTCCTTCAGGACAGAGGCATACTTTGGGAGGGAACTGTATGCCTTCATGGGATTAGGGGGGGGAATGTGGGACTGTCCCGAGTTGGGGCTGAGATGGGATGCCTGCAATTTGGGTAATCCGTTTCGGTGGAGGCAGCGTTGGGATAGGGTGTGAAGGATGAAGGGGGAGAAGATTAATCTTCACAAAACAGGTGCTTCAGAATTCCATAGTCTTCAATCGTGTTATATCAAGCTTTTTGGTGTTCTGTAATTCTTGGCGGCAACTGGCCTTCTTCCTCATTCCGGATATAGGATTTCAGAGATGGTCGAATCTGGACTGATATCCGCAGAGTTGCTTTGTCCCTGGTTTGCCGATGCCAGAACGACGCTGGCCGGAGCTGGGGCGTTGCCCTGTAACCTCCAAATGGCAGGAGTGTGAGGACTTGTAGAGGGATCTGGGGAGTTGCTGAGGGAGGAAGGCAATTCAGTGGCCAACCGGGGGGAGCTGCCTTGACAATCTATGGGTCCAGGGATAGTCTAGGTGGCAAGAACAGGCCAGCTATGGTTGACGTTGGTTAGGATGGCATTGTCTCTGAGATGTAATGTCCTGGTACAGGAAGGGCTAGGAGTTGTTCTAGGATTAGGGGGCCAGAATTGTTGATATAGCATAGTCTTCTATAATTTTTACATACTAATCATCATCAGCAGCAGCACCAGCATCATTAGTATCATTACATAGAATCAGCAGAAGTTCATCATCATCATCATCACCATATGAGCGACACTGAGCCCGGTTCTCAGCATGTTCAGTTTGGTCACTCCGGGTAGACTGTGAGGACCCTGGCCTCAATCTTCTTATTGGTAATATCAGCCTTGGGCACTGGGCCAGTTAAAAAAAAAACAAAAAAAAGCCCTTCAGGACATCCCTTAAAATTGGAACGATAGTACGATACAGAAAGATTTGTTTTTTTGAAGAAAACTTTAGTATTCAAGCCTGGAAACGGGCTGAATACAGAG